ATTTTGAGTATGCATGCCATGTCTCCTTATTAAGCAGAAATAAGCAGTTAAGACTGCAGTGCAAAGCCGTGGTGACAAAATGACCCTGAGCATTAGTGTTTGTTTGCAAAAAATTCAACAGCACACAACTAATGAATAATTAACAGTACTTTTTTTTTTTTGCTTTTTTAAAACACAATGTGATTTAAAGGTGCCACAGTCACTACTAAGCCACTCTAAATATTCTGCTAATTACTGAAAGTTCTTTCAAAGACAGACATCTGTGCTCACAGAGGAAGCCATACCTGTGACTTTCTTTTTTATTTTGAATTTGGAAAAGTAAAGAAATGATGGCACAAAAGATGCCAGGACAGATGGATCCAAGTGTAGAGTACCATCACAGAAACTGATGCCATATACTTGTCCCCTGTGGTCTTTACTGCATGCTAAATAAATGCAGTTGAGAGCCTGAGACGCCCAATAAAAGAAAACTAATAAAAAAGTATACAAAAAAGTACGAGAGGAGTTGGGAGTGTATTTGCTCCTTGTGTATTTGTTCATTTAATTTTGAAGGGATGAAAGCAGACAGGCATAAAGAGGGGCAGACGTAGAGAGATCACAGCATCGTGTACCGTATTGGTGGGTAGTGTGCCACACAGTCTGCCTCCTAAAGCAATAAATCTGAAACAGCATAATAGATAAACGCAATTCAGAACACAAAATACCCTGCGAGGGAAAACTAATAAAAAACTGAGTGATTAAGTGGAATCAGAGCTCTTAGGCAGTATCTGGAGATGGGAGCTGTCGCCATACAAAGACCAGAGTGGGCCAACACAACAGATGAGAGAGCATAGGGACGGGGGGCCGAGAAAACGAGGGCTAAAAGCAGAGGGAGCGAGAGACAGATGATGGAAGCGAGGGATGGAGGAGAGAGAGAGAAAAAGTGAGGGATGGATGGGGCAGCAGATCAGAGGGAGCCTCTAGTGTGTCTTGCTCTCCCTTTAAAGAAGAGCCAGGAAAACAGATTAGGAGTCCTCTTTTCTCCTGGGGGAGCACACACACACACGCACACACACACACACACACACACACACACACACACACACACACACACACACACACACACACACACACACACACATACACACACACACACACACACAACCTCCATTCAACCGCCCTCCTCCTCTTCACACAAACATACAACTAACTAACTTTTACACCACTGACCTGCCCGGCCCAGAACAAATCCACTTGGTGCTGAAGTCGTCCCCGCTGACAGAGAGGGCGGAGACGAGGAGACACAATGACAGCCTGTGTGTGCTGCAGTTCAGATGACCTCACATCAGGTCACGTTTGCTAACTGTTTAGGACACAAAGAGGAATGATGTCAGGGAGTATCTGCCTGTTTCAGAGAGATGTGCGCACACACACAGACACAAATACAGACCGCAGTGTGTCATTGTGCCCTTAAAGGAAGGTTGTGTGTTTAATATTTTTTAATAATAATAATAATGATAACAATGATAATAATAGGATTGCAACTAACAATTATCTTCATTAACAATTCATCTGTTATTTTCTAAATTAATCAATTATTCATTTAGTATATGAATTGTGCAAAACAAAGGTCAAACATGCCCAACACATTTTCTCAGAATCTTCTTTTGTCTGACCAACAATCCAAAACCAAAAGATATTCAATTTACTAAAGAAGAAACAGCAAATAATCTCAAAGCAGGAGCTGAAACAGCAAATGTTTTGTCATTTTTGCTTAAAAAATGACATTGACAAATGGCAGAATAATTTTTTGTTCTTCAACTAATCAATTAATCAACAAATATTTCAGCTCTAATAATATTAAAACACTTGTTTTGTTTGTAATCCACATTTCTTCTAACAAAACATTTCTGATTCAAAACGGAGCTTGTGCTTTATCAGTTGAACTGTGTGTGTGTGTGTGTCGTGTGTGTTATCAAAGCTGAGCCTAATGTCAGCCGTTGATAAACCACTGCAGTGACGAAAACCCAAAGACAATTCTGCACACGTTACACACGTCTCGGCCGAATTCTTGGAAAGGTGAGGTCTCTCTTCAGAAACACAAACGGCTCGCGTAGTCTTCACGTCACACTCTCTGGATGTTGCAGGTTTGACTCCGGCTCATAATCTTTGTCCCTGACCTGAGACGTGAAGAGCTTCACAAAGAGTTAAAACCACAGAAGAAGTACTTAGATCCTTTACTTAAGTAAAAGTTTTACAATGTAACAATACTCGATTACTAGTTAAAGTCTTGCATTCAAAACCTTATTTAAGTGAAGTATAATAAGCAAAATGTACTCTAACTGTCAAAGTTTAATTCAGATGAATGACCCCTTTTCCTTTTAGTGTTTTATTGTTATGTTTTATATTATTGGATTATTAACATAACATATTAACAACATTTTAATGTTGCAAATGGTCAAGATGGAGATAGTTTTAACTACTTTATGTACTGTTGTGCAGCTTAATTACATGATTGTATAAAAATTATCATATGTTTAGAAATATACAATATTAAACCACAAGTAAAAAGTTACCAAATCTGTAAAGTATATTTCCCTCTTAAATGTGGAGTGTAAGTATGAAGCAGAATGACATGGAAATACTCAAGTAAAATAAAAGTACATGAAACATAAATGTGATCATAAATACTTTCCACATAACTAGATTGGACATACAAATGTGTGCAAATGAATTGTTTATTTTTATTTCTGATTAACTTGAAGATATTGAAATTATTTTTTTCTGACATTGTCAGAACAATAAGAGATCACCCAAATCAGTCCTCAAAAAAAGCACCACACCTCCTTTATGACTTTATTCAGGAATGCATTATAGATCGCCTCTCAGATGGAAGGAAGTTTGTTTTTTTCCAGAAGCCATTTGACTTGTGGACAGTTGTGGTACAATGGACTGCTAAATGCACTTAGGGTTTTTGATATAATGTGCCTTTTGTGACGCTGAATATTTAATTTCCTTCCACTAAACACTCTTTGAAAGAAAGGAGATGACCTTTTATTTTTTAGTCTGAAATTATTATTTTTTATTAAATTGAAATCCCCTCTTTCTTATCAGGATATGTGTTTATGTTATGGGGGTCATCGTTCCAGAAGGCGGATGCTACAGCCTGTAATGAAAACATATATTGTTCGGGAGATCCCTGGTGGTATAAGGCTCAGACCATGATCACAAAGTTCCCTGGTCAAATCTGGATGGGGACATTAATTGCATGTCACACTCTCTTGCCAATTGTCCTGTCAATCTCTGCTGTCAAGTGAATTAAAAGCCAAAAAAGCCAATCTTAAGAAAATAACGGATTGTTAATGTCTGTCTTTGATCTCTGCAGATGATTTCAGCATCACTTGGGATCATTTTAGAGGCCTTAATTCTTAAGCGTTTCATTAAATGAAACGCAATTAGACCTGTATTATTGTATACCTCAGCGGGAAAACTCTCCTGAAGGAAACTGCAGCTGCTTCAAAATCTGTAGGTTAAAAAGTCTCCATGACTCTGTAGAGGGAATGTGCTCGGCTGGCAGCAGCAATGTGAACATACTCCACCCTCCATCCCATTCTCCTGTGCCAGGGCCGGGCATTCCTCTCCCCTCCAATGGCCGGTTAGTGCCCACTCTTTTTCTCTTTCTTTCTGTTGCACACAAGCACACACAGACTTACTCTCTTTTTGTCCCTATGCAACTACTTCAAACCCAACTATTTCCTTCCTTCCTTACTTGCCACATACATTTCTTCATTTCCTCTTTGCAGCCATCCCATCCTTCATTTCCCTTCCTTCCTTCCATCTTTTTTTTTCCTTCAACAACCCTCCATCTCCGTGGCTCTCTCTCTCCCTCTCTCCCTCTCTCTCTCTCTCTCTTTCTCTCTTTCTCTCTCTCCCTCAGCTGCTCTCTCATTTGGGTTTATTTGCATGGCAGAGCGTAAAGGATGCAGACAGTGTGAGCAAGGCCAGCAGAGTCCTCCTGTGTCCATCCAGGCCAGGGCTGAGATTTGTAATGCTAGACAACACTCGGCAATGCAGGGATAAAACCTCGGCCGCCGCAGACAAAAAGAGCCTTGTTTTTTCCTTTCCCTTTCCACCGCTTATTGCACTTCTCGCATGGAGACGCAGAATTCTCCACACCATTTCTTTTAGCGGGGAGAGGAATGAAGACTGGAGAGAGGGAAAAAAATAGTTCCCGTCTGAGTTTGATATATGGTCTTGGTACAGAGTATATTTTATATAAGGCCAACAGAGTATTTAATTTTCCCCTAACTTCACTGCAGCTGAGGGCAGTGAGCACAGGCGGGGTGTAGATGTCAGTATACAGCCAGGAGTCAGAGCAGCTTCTAATAGGTGGCAGCAGGACTGAGGCCTTTCATTTTTTATTTGTATTGTGTGTTGTACTGCAGTGTTTTGTAGTATACTGCTGGCTCTGACATGAATCTTAAATTTGACTTATCAGGCTGGAATAATACTGACACCTTTCTCCAACTCCTCTGTATTGACCCCTTGATTGACCCCTAATAGTTCTTTTTGTGATCTTGCACATTTGTAGATAAAATATCGACATTTTGTAAAAAGCACAGTGGAGCTAAAGGGGCATTTTTCTTTCGCATTGTTTTTTTTCCCTCTTTATTTTAGGGATTCAGGTTTTATTGAATGTCTTTCTGCTTCACCCACGCTAGTTAGCACTTCTGAGGAGATAGATTTTTATATTTGCTATGTTTGACCTTCACCCTGTTGCTACAATTTATTGTCACCATCATCTTTTGTAAAAAATAAATTATAATCAGAGCATTGAGATTTTGGTTTCGGGGCCGAGAAGGGAACGTTTCACTTGTTGTGCTCCTGCGGGTAGAAAATGTCTACAACATCATGAATTCTTCAGAAGCCATATTGTCTCTGTAACCTCTTAAAATACATATATTATATATATTTCCTGATATTGTCATTATACAATTTATTATTTTATAATTTCTTTGATAGAATGTTTACCTGTTGATTAAAGTTTATATGGCTGTGAATCTCAATAAGACAATCTCTGTTACTGGCTCGTACTTTTGTTCCTCTGTCCTCTAAATCTGTAAACAAGTGTTGGCAACAAGTCCATCTTTAATAAGAATGAATATTTATCTACTACAGTTTACTTCAATGCCATCCATTGAGCAGAAATGTATTGCATGGTCTCTTCTCTCATAATTACTTTAAACAAGTCAATCACGGTTCGCAGTTGTATTCCAGCCTGGGATCGAAAACTTGTAATTTTTATTCATTTTGGGGTTTACAGACGAGCACTTAGGACTTAGAAAAAGTCTTCCCATGTTGTCTGAATTTGCCTGTCTGATCCCACAATGTGCCCTTCTCTTCTCACAGTGAGGTTTTAGGGAACTTATTGCCCACATAATGCTGGGTCTTAAAACAGTGTGGTATCAGAGCCATTGTGGTCTGCAGTAATGGCTGGTTTAAGGGGGCTGTGGTAAGAGACACCGCTCAGAGCTTTCATTAACCCAAAGCTCAGCCTAATTGACGCTTATAGGTTGCCTTACATGATTAGGGCCAATGCACGCCAACAAATTTCCCACAGTTTGTTTTGTAACTTTTGGAACATATCAATTGAATCTTTTTGTAGATTTTTATTCAATGTTTTCTTCCAAGAAACATTTCAAAGGAGCAAAACTCATCAACTTTTCTGCGAGTGGCTCTACTTTTGTTTTTTTAATAATAGAAATCAAGAGTTTATGACAAAACCATGTGAGTTATTTTATTATTGTGGCCACTGTCTCTACCGAATAAAGCAATCTAATGGTTGGAATGGTTTATGTGTCATAAACAAAATGATTTTAGGAGATCTGAATAAGACTGAGAGGAACATCCCACATTTTCATTAATATTATTTTAGGAAAAACATAGGAATTATTACTTAATTGAATTGAGGTTAATCATAAGGTGCATCAGCATCAAGACAAAGAAGTATAAATTATTATTATTTAAGTGATATTTATAAACAAGTTCAAGTAGGTTTCCCTATAGCATTAATGATTCAGTGTGCAGATTTTTAATACATTTCAAAGAATTTGTCCCACCATTGTTTAGTGACGCAATGAATTACACAACAACTTTTCCGTTTTAAATAATTAATACAAATAACGCGCTTTTATTGTAGTATTAAATACCTTAATGTTGGTCCAGATGCAGTTCAGGTGTGATTCCGGTATTTATTTTAGGCCTGCTCTTCGGAATTCCTCATAAAGAAACATTGTCATTATTAATAAACTCAATGCGGTGAGGTGACATTTCTAAATTAATGCACAGTTCACAGTTTCCCCACAGATGTGTTTTGCAGGTAAATGCACTCATGAAAGACAGAAAGTCTTTTTCTTTGCCTTTTCGATTTTAAGGAAATATGTCTGCGGGACATTTCTTAAAATATATAGGCCAATTTTCTTTAAAAAAACTCGAACTGCATTTGATTAGTGGTCACTTGTGCGTCAAATAAACCCCTGTCTGACTGTGATGCTAATAAATATTATTTCTGGCTGCACATTGTGATACAGACCTCTACTATTTTTTCGTTCTACAAACTACATTGCTCGATATTATATAGATATTTTTTCCGGATGCAGCTTTGTTACCTGAAACTTGTAGAAAATCTGTCTGGCCTTCTGCAACTTCAGGGCTTGAGTTGGTCGTGCTGCCTGCGCGCAGTCTGACTGCACAAACTGTTATTTGTAGTTTAATTAAGGGTTAAGAAAAAAATCGTGTCGTGGGATTATTTGGGGTTTACAGGCACATTTTGGTGTTTTTCCAATCAACTGGTCATCCTCCAAGCAGGCCGTCGGGCATGTTCGAGCTTCCCAGTCATCAGCATCTGTAAAAAAGACACCAGATTTAATATTCAAACAAAATGGGAAAAACAAATTGAGGAAGGTCATGGTATAAACTGTGAATATTATACAACCGCTTGGGGCTCGTGTCATCCAATCAATAAATCATCAGACAGACCGTGTAGAATTATGGATTAGACTGTATTTGTCGTATTATTGTTTTATCATTATAAATATATATTATATTATCATTGTTCTTCTTCTTCTTGTTATTTGTTTTTATAGCATTATTAGCACTTTTGATGATGATGCTCTTTTTATTTTTTATGTGAAAGTATACTTTAATATACATGCTCTACACCAACTATCATTTCATTGTTCATCACTATTGTAACTGACTGGCTTTACTTTACAACACTGTGAACTACAGTCTCTACAGCAACTTGTAGTTTGTTTAATGACCCAACTAATGACCACAGTTCATCTCACAAACAATAATATCAACAGTTTTAAATTATTCCAAAATAATCAAAACAGTGTGTCACGAAAAAGGCAAAATACTCACATTTGAGCTCCCGTATATTTATACCCACTGTAAATCTTTGTTGTAATTTTACAGGGAAAAGTCTTAGACTGCAGTCAAATTAATGAAATTGCACAAGGATTTTTTTATTTTCAAAATAAGATCGAAATAAAAATAAAATCTCTCACTTTTTTTTTTTAAAAAAGGGCCTTTGACTATTAATGGGCAGGTGAAAGTCTGCAGAAAGTACAGTTACGCTACATTATTGGTCTTTGTGTTGGAGTCAAATTAACAGAATCAGCTTTTTAATAAATGAATACCATGTTAAACAAAAGTAAAACTATGACACCAGCAATAATGACACATTTGATCTCTCTACTGTTGAGTAAATGGGCCATCCCGGCCTCCGTCACCTCATAATCTTTAAAGAAAAACAAACAAAAAAAAAACACCAGACACACTCGTTTTAAACTAAATAATCCAAATTAGGCTGAAACAAAAAACTTAAATCACAAATTCAATTACAGATGAATAATTGATTTGGCCAAATGTGTGGGGAGGTCAACATTGAATTATTGATAAGCCGTCATGTTGGAGGAATGTCATTAGACGCCTGATTTAAAAAAAAAAAAAAAGAAGAAGAGGAAAAGACGGATAACGACACACGCACAACTGAAGACAAGAACATTTTACACTCACAGTTCAGTTCAATGCTGATTTATCCAGACAACGAGAATCAATACCGCCACACGCATATGTAGTAAGAACGAACATACTCATGGTGTTGTCTTTATTTAAACCAAGTATCCACATTTGTTTGGCGAGGCCTGAAATTTGAAATCACCTGGAACAAGAATAGGCTGATTTTAAAACGTAATCATCGAGTAGGTGCAGTATTTTAGATTTGAACTTATTTTCTAAAATGATTTGACTGTTTTACTTGTTTTTTTCTTGGGTTTGGTGAAATCCCTTTTATCTGCCATATTTTTCTTTGTGACCTTCCCCTTTTATGGCACCATTGTGGCCCTACAAGTCCTTCTGGCCAAATTCATTTATACAAAAACGTATTGCTCTTCATTCAGGAACATTTAGCAACTGTGGCTGCATCTTACAAAATAACTCACTTTCTTCATTTTAAACTCCACTGACGTTTTGAGCCTCCCTTTGGCCCTTTTCCTAAATAATCAGCGAGCATGTCCACATGTGTTTTACTCTTTTCTTGGGCGTCTCTGTTGCTCCTGGTTGCTGCTGCTCCAAGCCTCTAGTCCTCACAAGAACTTTCATTAAGAAAATAGCTAAATTTATGTTCTGGAGTTATTTCCCCAAAGGCAGATCTTTTTTTAACCCTGGTTTACAGTATTCCTGTGCTGTCTCACTCACATTTAATCCTGTTGCTTTATTGCGTAGTTCTGTTGGGAGACACTGTGACAATAAATGTGTATTGGTGAAGTGTAAAGAAGCTTTAAAGTTAAAGCTTGGAAAATGTAGCACCATTATGAATGAACAGAATATACTGAATGCTTATGCGTGTTCCACCAATATGTGGTCATCCTTGCCTTCAAAACACATCTGAACCTCCTCATACCCACTGAATGTCTGATCATAGAGTGACAATGGCTTTTCTTTTAGTATATTTTGGCGAATGTTATCAACTGCATGGAAACAGATCAGATCTCTGGCTCGGTGTGGTTCATTTTTTCCTTAAATTACCTTTTTTTGTTTTCTGATCTTTGCTCCAGATTGTAAAATACAAACACTACGGAAATCAAACTCGGAGCAGCTCGGGTCGTACCCGGCCGTGCCCACAGTGTGCCACTCTGAAACCTACATGCAGGCGGTAGGTAGGAGCCAGTGCAGCGCTAATCCCCGCCGTCCGTGATTTAGCCCCTGGTCCTCCTAATTCTCCTAAAGCCCCAGCTGCTCCCCTGGCCGCTCCGCTCTCTCCGCGACAGACTGCACACCGCTCGCTTTATTAATAATTCACCTAATAATTCAGCATTTCGACGCTGCCGGCTGAAGCACCGGCCCCCCACCTTCACTGTAAACAACTGCCCTAATTCCCCGTCTATTTTGTGTGTGTGTATGTGTGTGTGTGTGTGTGTTAAACAGGTCGCACGCTGGTGAGGTGAGCTATTTAGTGGGCTGATTATTTTTTGGGGAGGGAAGTGTCTGCCGTCGCTGCCGGAGCGCACGGAGAGCTTTCATTTTACGCACCGAGGCATCCGGAGCCCCGCTGAAGCCCGGACCGGCTACGTGTCGCTGTCTGTGCAGGCATTCTGCTCACATCGGTGAGGCTGTAGCGATTTGAAGGAAGCAAAAAACGCAAGCTGCTCTTTCATCTCGTCAGCTTTGAGGAGGAGGCGGTGAGGGACCAGGGGTGTCCCCCTCGTTTTTGTGTGTGTAACACCGCGTGTGTTTGTGTGTGTGTGTGCGCGCGCGCGCGTGTTTGTGTGTGTTTGGAACAAGAGAGAGAGGAGAGAGAGAGAGAGATACGAGGGTAAAACAGATCGGACGCGCGGCGCAGGAGACAGCCGCTTTTGGACACGTTTTGGAAACAGAAGCTGCCCCGACTGCAAAGGCTGCACACGGAAAAATAATATAAACAAAACTTACTTTGCATCACCTCTCCCAGTCCGTTAATTTTTTTTAAATCGTGTTATTAATATTATTTCGGGGAGTTTCTTAGCGTCTCCCAATCTGCTGGACAAGTTTGGCCGCCGAAGGACGCACCTCGGGACTTTGACGCAGACGTCTCCCTGACTTCTTGCTGCTGGACATGGGCGCATCTGAGGCCAAACAGCGGTAGACGGAGGGCTTGGAGCTGCTGTCCTCCTTTCCTTCTATCTCTTGCAGAGTGGACCCACTTTTGAAAGAGCGTGTTTTTTTTCTATCTGGGCCTAAGGCCGACTTGTTTAAAGGTCCTTTTTTTGCTTCCGGCAACAGCGAAGAGACCAAGTCTTCCTCCCTCAGCCCTCTCTCCCTCTCTCACTTTTTTGGAAGCTGAACTTTTAAAGGAAAATGGGGCATTGAGAGGGTTGGCAGATCTCCCCACGCTATAATGGTACGTGCTGTGTAACTCAATAGTTCCCCTCTGTTGGGTCTATAGGGTAAAGTCTATAGGACTGAAAATAAACCAAACATTGCATGTGTTTAACTGCAGGGCTTTTTTTTGTAGGTTTCTAATTTCTTTGTAAAAAAAAAAAAAGGGGAAATCTGCACTTTGTTGGACACGCAGAGTGAGAGTTGGCTGTGTGAGGCCACAGATGACGATACAACGCACCTGTGTGTGTGTGTGTGTGTGTGTGTGTGTGTGTGTGTGTGTGTGTGTGTGTGTGTGTGTGAGAGAGAGAGAGAGAGAGAGAGAGAGAAAATATGTGTGTGTTATGTGTATAAGTATAATCACATTGCCTGACCAGTTTGATACTTATAAAGCGTCTAAACTCACTCTGATTAACAAAGTTTAAAAAAAAAAACAACATCTAACATGCAAATTGTCTCACATCACTTGCATCCCAACAATGTATTTTAATGCAGATTTACCTTTTTTACCATATAAATATCTCGCATTATTTTTGCGATCTGCAACCTCAGGCACGTTATTTCCTTAAACCTTTCCCAAAGACACAACAAGGCTGTGATAATTATGCCTCTAATATACAATATGAAAAAAAAAGAATCTGTTTCCTAATTTAAATTGATTTAGCCCAACTGGTGGGTTAACAGTGTGCAGGCTGAATTGTTTGCAGAGGCGTTTGTAGACACCGATTGACAAAGTGGAGGCTGATCTCGCTGCGCTGCTCAGATCAAACAGCATAAAAACACACACGCGACCGCAGTCTGAGGAGATCTGAAAGGCCAGCATATAGAGACAGCATGTGGGCGGTATTCATCACCCTTTTTATGATGATGAGAATGATGATGAGGATGATGGTGATGATATTCTGCAAGCATTTTGTAAGCCCGTGTGGCGCAGGGGTGCTGCACAGTTCTCCACCTTGCACCCGGACTGTGTCTTTTTCTATCTGAGGCAGCTGCTGTTTTTTATCAATGGGCACTTCATTTGCGTAGTTGATGACACTTTACAGCGACTACAAGGGGGTGGGGAGGTGAGGTGACAAACAGATCGTCTTTGTGCCCCCCAAACAAGTGCAGAGAGTGCCTGTAAAGGAAAGCAGTGTGAATACGGGCACCGCGACGTAGCATTTCATGTTGATCACAAAATCAAAAGGAAGAATCTCTGGTCGGTTGATAATGATATATCTTATCTTTTTTAAATCCTGTATCCTTTAGAGAGATAAATATTTTACTTTGCTTTTTCTCAGTGTACCGGATGATGTAGCAAGTGATTATTTGACATTAAACAGCCTCTCTAGCATGTTGCAGTTCAACTCTTTTGAATTATAATGGTCTTAAATTATAATCATAATGGCCTAAAATCGTGACCTACATTATAATTCATCTTCATTATCAACCCAAGAGATTACAGTAAAGGTGCCAAAATTTGGCACAAAAACACAATTTCATGTGTTTTGTAATTAGACATATAGCTCATGATGATGATGTGTTGAGCTTTTTGGTTCAAGAAGGACTTGTTCAAATATTTGGTTGTTAGATGATGATGGGAAGTTTTTTGTAGTAATGTAAAAATACATCACTTTAAAAGGTAAGAATACAGTATTTCTTTATTAGAAACACAATATTCCCGTTCCACCAATAATGTAACTGCAAACACAGTTGGCCAAGCAGTCTTCTTAATACTATTATACAAAAACTGCAATTCAGTAGTCCTCTGGCAGGTTTCAGGTCAGGACCTCCTGTATTAGACATAGAAATAAAATGAGATGTTTATATGGACGGCAACATTAGTTCTGAAATGTCTCACAAATAAAGACAATACTAAAAACATTAAAACATAAAAAAGATAAACACATGACGAATCATCAGTAAGAGAACAGAATATGTGCAGCTGTTGATACAATTTACGTAAATTAAAACTCCTGTCATGAGCACGTTTTACTGCTATACTACTATATTGACTGATTATGGTACAACAAATTCCTCATATGTGTTTATGTTTGGCAGAGGTGTTCTAGCATGTAGTATAGTCCTGAAAACTCAGACTGGAGGGTACGTTCAGTGTCATCCTCATTACGCAAAAGTGTCTCGCATACAGTAATATTATACAGAGCGTCTTCAAGTCTGCCTCTTCTCGTTTATTGTAATCCACCAACTTTACAGGACCAACTTGTCCCACCTGTCCCCCAGATGAGTGACACACACATCAGTTGATGTGAACACATATTTTCCTGTGGTTTAAATATCATTGTTACATAACTTTATTACTGGGCTCACCTGCCAAAAATGCATGTTAGTTTGTGTGACACCCAATCATACCTGCACAGGCCTCAAGTGGTTTAAAATGTCAAATTAAAGGCCATATGTGATTTGTGATATCAGCTGTCACATTATCTTTTCTTAAGGTAAACGAACCATTAGACAATGCTTCATAATTGGCAGTGATATAACAATCCTCATTTTGTTTTGATTCTAGGCCTATAATTTCACAGTCGGTTGCACTGCGGTTGTTGCAGAGAAAAACCTGCCAACCACAGAACCTGTCACTCAAGTCAAAGCCAAGACTGTTATTGGTGCCAAGCTGGGAGGTGGGCGTGAACCTTAACATATTATTAAATAAATTTTTAGAGTATCATTTCAGTTGAGTTGGAAGTGGGTGAGACATTTTACACAAGCTCAACACGCTGCTTTATTGAGTCATACCAAGTGTGTGTGTGTGTGTGTGTGTGTGTGTGTGTGTGTTTTTTGTAATGTAATTCTATGCTTCCTGGTCTTTGCGGTAAACTGTGCTGTATTAGAACCATAACCACAAGAAAATCTCCCCATGGATCAGTCCTCGTGTGACACAAAGGGCTGATTGTACCAGCCCAAACCTCATTGTTAAATGCGCATAGCCAGTGCGGCAAGGGCCTTAACTGAGTGTGGTTTAGCCATTAAAAAAAGCTTGAATTAGGATCCGTGTAGGAAAAGGGGTGCCAGTGGCGTTTGGTTACCTAGTGTACGGAGGCGGTGTATGGTGCGAGCAGTGTGGCAGCAAAATGTTGCAGCCCGGGAAGTTCAGTGTTACAATTGGCATGGTGTTATCTAAAGGCCAGCCTGTCGAGCAAGATCAGTAGTTGACAGGCGAGGTGCCAGGCCAAGCGAATCTTGGGGTGTGTCACAATGTGTGCTCTGTTCAAACTTGTTTCACCGTAAGAGTTTTGGTGAGTATTTCTTTGCAAGGAATCAGGGCAGCTATTGTTTGGGCTGGCATAGTTTCACATCAATTACTCAGGGATTCAAACATTGCACCTCACCCAGCTGATCTGCATATATGCAACTTTGACTTGACCCACACACATGCATACGCACACATGGCTGACCTGCCGGTATACATGCCGGCAAGTCGAATGTTTTCTGCTTAAGTCATCCAAAATTATATTTTACCCCTGCCTCCTGCAGTCAGGCCTCCTTAACAGAAACTGCCTCATGCCTCCTCCAGAATCCCACCATTAACTATTGTGTAAAACACAACTGCACAATTAAGCCAAATGCAATCTTCAGCACTGCGTCTTGGCTGTACTTCTGACCCAACAAAAACCTTCAGGACCCACAAGTGGAGTGAAATAATTAGCCCCATTCTGCTCAGCCATCCATCTATCCTTCTTTTTTTAATGCAGCCCCTCAGTTTCTCATCTTCTTTCTTATTCTACCCGTTTTCCCCTTCACCCCACCCCCACCCCCCCAGAGATGGCTGTGTGAAAAATCGTATTTTTCCAACATTTCTCCCCGAGGTAGCTTTGGCAGGGACTCACACGGCGGCCATTTCTGCCTTTCATACACCCCTCACACACCGTGGAACAGATCGCCGGTGCGGCCCGGCTTCTTTGAAGTGGTTGCCATCTCACGCAGGTTGGCTGGACTCTCTCATTCTCTCCCCCCCCTCCCATTCCCCACCCCCCATTTTCATCCTGTGCCTTAAACTTGGCAGTGTTATTTTCAGCCACCAAATCATGATGATAAAAAGGCGCTTTAAGACACAATGGTGGTGATAATAATTATGGTTTTTAAAAGATGGACTGACAGCACTGATAGTGGCTGTGGTTGATGATTGTGCAGCAGCCAGAATAAATGCTCTCTGGAAACAAGGACTGCACCAGGTGTGTGAGCAGTGTAAGTTTTTTGTTTGTAGGTGGTGAATTAGTGTGTGAGTGCATGTGTGTTGCGAGATGCAGAGACACAGAAAGATAGAGAAGGAGGATCATTGATATGTTGCCATTCATGTGCTTTAAAATGGAGCCATCTGAGAACAAATTCCACCATCAGGGCCTTTCATACACAGAGCTCTGTGGAGGTGTGTGTGTGTGTGTGTGTGTGTGTGTGTGTGTGTGTGTGTGTGTGTGTGTGAGTATGTGTGTGAGTGTGTGTGAGCAGGTTTTCGGAGATCTCACCTCCAAAGAATGTGGCCATATGGTCGTCAACACATATACCCAGAGAGAGAGAGAGAGACAGATAGAGAGCCAGCCAAGGAGCCCTGTGTGAGATAGTGAGGGAGAAAGTGAAAGAGAAGTGTCTTTTGTCAGTGGAGGCAGCAGGAAAGGCAGTTTTTAAAACAGATCCTATACCCCTACCTTAGATCAGATGGCTCAGACAAAAAAAAAAAAAAAATCCATCTCCATTGCATCCCCTACTCCACATATTTGTGGAGTGGGAAAATCTGTCTCAATTAACACATTTGCATTGGGCGATGATGGACTCCAAATAGGTCACTGACTCAATCTCCCGCCTCCGAATCTTCCCTCTAAAATGTTAATTAAGGAGGGCTTTGAGATTTTTTCGCTCAGGGCTGGCCATATGGGCCGGGCATATGTTCTATATATATAGTACAATATATAATTCATACACTGCTGCAGGAGAGAGTGTTTGGGGGCCTGGAGTTTTTTTGAGGGGTTTACTACAAAGGGAGTCAGTATGTTCTGGCCTCCCCAGTGGCAGGTACAGAGCTTAGCCTATTCATTAGCTCCATGTTATTCACTGTTGCACAATGAGATTGAGGTTCATCAACACCTGTTTCTTTGGCTGACGACATAAAGAGGGCATTTAAATTCTTCTTTGTTGCTTGGTTAATATGAAATGGGAGCAAATTATCTATTTTTGGAGTGCAGTTGCTTTTTTTGGTGTGTTTTACGATGTTTGTGCCAAGTTAAAGGATGAGTAATATTGAGATTCTCTGTATATGAAGGGCTGCATATGTACAAAGATATTCTCAAATAGTTAGTGTGATTCCTTAGATACTCCCAGTTGAACCAGTTGTCCCAGTGCCATCCTCCCAGACACCCATTCACCAGCAGAATGAGGCAGTGGCAGCCAATGAAAACAGTTCTTTCCCACCCGCAGCTTTTTGGGTCTGGCTCAACCAATCAGAGGAGGCTTGCTAGTGCACCTGACCCTGTTTCTGGCCAGGGACAGCCAATCACGGACGCTCCAGCACACCTGATGCATTGTGGTCCGCTTGCTGGTAGTCAGCAAGCTCGCGCTGGTGCGGACCCCCACACAGGTGCCGTGGATCCAGGCCATTATTCTATCCGCCAGCCAATCAGATGCATCATCTCATTATCACATGTGGCCTGGCAGACTTTGAGTGTTTGCATTTTGTCTTGTGTGTGTCTGTGCGCATGTGTGTGTGTGTGTGTGTGTGTGTGTGTGTGTGTGTATATCAGCTTGTATGTGTATATGTGTACCTGAGGAACTCTGCTACCCCATTCCCATAATGCTTTGCAGTCTTATCAGCAGGCCTCTCTCACTCCGTTCCTGGCTTCATCCTCTTCTTGAGACTCAACAATGGGCACTGTGTTGCCCCCTTAAGGAGCTGGAGGCCTCGGCTATAAAAAGAGACTAAAAATAAAAAAACATGTTTATGGACTAATAAAGATGATTAGAAATCGCACAATTGCAGAAAAATGGAAGGTTTGCGAGTGCAGATTATCTGTAATAAAAAGCTGAGGGGAGAGACCGGGGAGAGAGGGAGAAAGAGAGTTAGCTGTACAGACCTCTCATTGCGAAGGATATGAATAGCCTTTGTTTTCACCACAACTCAGGGCTGTGTGGTCTGCCAATGTCTGGCTCTTATTATGGGGTTTGTGTCTGTGTGTCTGCGTAAGTGGCATGCACGTGTGCGTTGGTGTGTGCGTGTGCTTGTGTGTGTTGCTATGTGTTTGTGTGCGAGGTCCGAGAGCTCATGGGCGTGGAAAAAAAAAACTTACATACGTGCAGGTGATTATATTTTCAAGAGGGTGATGTGCATTTAAACGTTTCCACACACCAAATACACTGTTTTCTCTCCGCTCCTGTTCAGCTAAATAAATGTGGCATGGGGTCTTGGGCTGGCACAAGCGTGTGTGCACGCTTTTTTATCCGTTAAAGTTGTGAAATGAAATAGGATTTCACGGAACGGCACAGCGGCTGTGGGATTTGGGCTCCCTTCGGCTAAGTAGAGTGGGATAGGTTGATCCAATCAACGGCAGAACTGCAAGGAGAGCCCATTTCACAGCTCCGGGCCCTGCCAGAACCCTGCCTGCCTGCCTGCCTGCCTGCCTGACTGCCTGACTGCCTGCTTGACTTAGAATACAAATGAAGCTCCCTGAATGCACACTTACACACACATGCATGCATGCACACTGGTACTTACAGACATTCTGGCTAGGGATGTATAGTGCAAGAGTTGTTAGCAGGCGCCGTGCTTTCTGTGGAGAAATGAAACCAGTAGGGGTTATAAGGCTGATTCATATAGTACAGTTAAATTTTAGGATTGTCTCACAAAGGGGAAGCAAGAAAATCTATGTTTGATCAGGGTGACCTGAGGACACAACTGTCTCACTGGATTTTAATAAATTCTTAGAATTTTGTGAAAAATGCTAACTTTTTTTAACTGCATTATTTCTTAGGGGCAGTGTTGTTTGACATTTGTTCAAAAACAAAACAAAACAAAAAAAATGCTAGATATAAAATTGCATTTAGGTAAATATGGAGAGAAATTAAATCATTTAAATGTCTGAGTAAAATGTTTTCATATATTGTATTGGGCCACAAATTCACTGCAGGTTTATTCAGCAGCTACTAATTCAACAAATGCTAGAATTTCTGGTGCCTTAGTGCCAAAAATGACTGACCTCTGCATCCTAAGAAAGTTGTTAATATTATGACAAAATCATTGCACTCTTTAATTAAACATTTCATTAAATAACCATCTCTTTGTTGTTGTTTTTTAGGCTACTGACACGTACCTGGTGAACGACGATCCTTCTAGAGGTCCAGGGATGCCTGAATGTTTCCTCGTGTCTGATACATATAGGGTATATATGCACACGCACACACACACACACACACACACACACACACACACACACACACACTACAAGCTCTCTTTGTCTGTCCCTGTCATGTCGATGTCTCACAGATTTATTTCCTGGACACTCAAACAAGCCCAGTCCATTAAATATAATCCTTTATAAAGATTTACCACAGTTGGGAGGAGGAGGGCATTCAGAGTACAATAGACTCATCAGTGCATGTTGCAGAGTAATTTTTACAGGGTCAGACTGCACTGTGGGGATGTTAACCACTAAATTATCTTCATTCTTCAGATCTTAAATTGTAGGTTCTGGGGTTAATGTGTCCAGGAAATACACACACGTTTCTGAGTGTTGACATTCTTACCGTGAGCATGTTCATACTGTATATGCACTACCTGTAAAATCTCCCCCATGTCATCATGGATGCCCTGAACCCATGTGTCAAATGTGCTGACATGTGGCAACAGTACCCTGCATGAACACCATATTTCCTCAAAATGTCAACTTTTCTGTGACAATTATTTTTTCAAGGTTTATTTATGCTACGCTGCAGCCAGTTAAAACAGAATAAAACTGAAAAGCATTACAAAACAAAAATATGAGATTTTTTTGTCTTTTACAGGACACTTTCTGACATGTTCTGCATGTGGTAGTTTTCATATCTTTAGTAAAAAACAGCATGTCGTCTTTCAGCTTGAGTTTATAGACGACAGTTTGGCTGGTTGGTAAAAACCTCTCCTTTTGCCTGCGTGCTGTAATCTGACATGTTGAAGAAATTATGATACCTGAAATCTATACATTTTCTTCCTGTTGAATACAAACACGGTAGAAAGGCAGGAATCCAAACCAGTTGAGTAAAACGTATATGGAGCTATTTCACACAGTAAACACATAAAAAGCAGGAGGCGTAACACATTGCTCCGCACACACACTCAGATTGCAAACAGATCCATAGAGTCTCCAGGATCCACACTGTGTATGATATGCTTGTTAGCCATAACGGCCAGTCAGCCATTTCTTTCTGACTGCATATGCCTGTATGCATTTGACTGGCATGCTCCCTCCCAGAGCACACATAAACAGCTTACTCAAACAATATTTACACTGTACAGCGTAGTAAACGGCACAGTTACACACATTTTCCGTTCACATATTTCCTGCCTTTGGAAAGGCAGCCTCAACCACCTGTCTCACACATTTAGCATGCTAATGGCAGTATCAGTATGCTACATCACTTTTAATATTTAATGGCCTAGCCACAGGCGATGGTAAACAGCAAGTATATGGGCAGTGCTGTGTGTCAATGGGAGACCACAACATGCTAACTTTAGACACACCATATGGTTTTCTCGTGTGCTTTTTTAATGGCAAACTCAGAAAACCGCTAGAGCCCTGTGCGCTTCGGGGGCTTTCATAGGTGATGGTCAGAGAGGACGTGTTTGATCACGGGCAAAAAGAGAATTTGGAGAGAAAACCTGAGCATCAGTGTTTTGTAACTCCTGTGGTTGCTATAGTTTGTTTGTTGCAGCCAAGCGCCTGTGTTGAATACTGACGTGGTCGTATGGGCCAAGACTGTAGCCAGCGAGACAAAGACGGGCCAGTAAAGTCAGACAGACGAAAGGGACAGTGTGTGTGATTAAGACGGCAGAAAGAGAGAGGTGACAGCTAAAAGATAGAAAAAAAGAGAAAAAAGGTCACTAAAAAGAACGAAGGAGAAATAGAAAAGCGGGTAGACAGAAAGAGAAAGAGGGAAAAGCGAGGGAGCACACAAAGGCTCTGGGGTTTGGGCCTGTGCCGTGGTGGGGTGTGGTTTGGAAAGAGGAGAGACTATGGGAAAGGAGGACTAGACTACACCTCAATATGCTTCACTTTCTTCCACTTTTATTTTGTAATTTTCTCCTGTTTCTGATTCTAATTCCTTTTCTAGTTGCTTGTGCCAGCATATCTCTGGCCACAAGACATTTGTGGCCGTGTACGTATATGTGTGTGTGCACATGTGTGTATACTGTACATTCTATGCATGTGTGTCTGTGGTGTGAGTGTCTAAGTATCCTACATAGGCTGAGGTCTCGTAAAGCTGCACAGCTTCATATCCCCCAGAAAAACTTGGCATTCGAGCACTGGGGTGACTTCAACCCCCCAAAACCGCACCCTTGCACACACACACAGTTAGACATACGCACATACAGAATTGTATTCACAAAGACACACACACACACACACTCTCACAATGCTCATGCACACACTCTCGCTCACACACATGCACAAGGCAGGGGCTTATGTGTAATTGCAGGCACTCTGCCTGCATATATGAGTTTGATTAGGCTGAGGAGCAGGGAGCGGGCGAGGATAAAACCAAGCCTGATTAGAAACAGAGTGTATCGCTTCCATACAATAGAAGTCACAGTGAAACTGGTTTAGACCACTTTATCCAAGTTCAGGTATCTTTTGTCTCCATGTACATATACAGTAAACTGGAATATGACGTACTGGGTTAAAAAAAGAGAAAATCAGGAATCCAAGGAGTATCACAGCTGCATAAATTACAATCAGTCAGACAGTAAATGTACAACTTGCCGCAATAACTTTGGACTTCTTTAGTTCCTTGAGGGCATTCAAGAAATATTGAGAACATTTGAATATTCCTTTTACTGGAAATATAATGTGGTCTAGTTTATAGCTTTCAGACAAGGATCGTCTCGTACCCAAACTGTGCAGCTAGGACCGTCCTCAGCCAAGTGTCGGGCCTCAAATCCAGCCGTGACACCTTGTAAAATGAATTAAACACAAATAAGTTTGGCCCACAATGGAGCTGATGTTCCCACCGCATCAAACACTTTATCCATTGCACACTTTAAATTTACAGTAACAAATACTCAAGTTGACAATACGGGGGCCTCTTCCACTTAAGACACTTGAATTAGTTTACTGTGTGCTGAAAGCTTTGTGTCACTCTCCAGCTTGACAGGCTGACCAAAAATACCGCAGCAGAGATTTCAGTTGTAAATTTCAAACCTTTGTTTCTATTATGGTCACACATAGGTTTGCTTCTGCATTTTGTGTAACAGCACAGAAAATGAAAGTGGAAAAAGATAACTGTGTGGAAATCTGCCTCCATGCTAATTGTTGGTGTATATAACAATGAAGTAACTTATCACTGAGTAACAAAGACAAACTGTCAGCTGTGAGACAAAAATGTTGTTGGGGTTTTTTTTAATCATTGTTACATTTGTCTAAACTGGAGCTTTGGCTGTCTTCTTTCTCTCTCTTTCTCTCTCTCTGTCTATCTACCTATCTGTATGTATCTCTGTCTGTATGTAGGCTATGTATGTCTGTCTCTCTGGGCTTATGTATATATCGACTATATCCAAGACAGACAGACATGTAACAACATATATATAAAATAATGCGGCAAATATATGACTAAATTGTTGCTGCATGAAAGAGAAAGGCAGAACAATCATTCCAGAGAGCAGGATGGCTACAGACACCCATGCAGAACTGTCCGTACTTGGAAATATAGTATAAATATTGCAGATATTCTCTTTGAATTTTATAAAATACCATAAAACACGACGAGGGGGACTGAACTCACCAGTGCCACATGCGCACTATAAGCCCCTGCAGTACTGTAGGGACACTGTATCTCATGCGAATCCTTCTCTGAGGTTTTAGCGAAGATTTCTGAAAAAGAGAAACTGTAAAAGAAAAAGAAAAAAAAGATCATTTTTAAAATACAGATAGGTTTGTGTCGATCTGAAAGAGAAGCGCGGAGGGAGAGAGAGAGGGAGAGCTAGAGAGAAAGAGGGAGGGAGGGAGGGAGAGAGAGCAGCAAAAACTTTCCCCTAAAGTTAGTGCGGAGCTTTCACTGTGAGTGAGGCGGGGTTACAGCCTGGACTGAGCCACAGCGGCTTTGCAATGCGGCACCGCAGCGAACCTCCATCCAACTTTATTATCAGCAACTCCAATTTTCATCTCTAGACACAACCATGTACTCCCCTTACTGCTTGACACAGGTATGAAAAAAATAATTATCGCCGATTTTCATGCTCTTCTCCGTTGCTATTTTTTTTCCGGTACAGTGCGCCTCCGTGTACTGTTTGTGGTTACAGTGTTGTGTTGTCTGCCGTACTGCTGCTTGTCATTTGTTGCGTTTTTTAAGGACCTGTTTTCCAGCTCTGCTCTCTTTTCCCCGGTAGTGTTTAACCTCGCTCTCTCCCTCTCTCTCTCTCTCTCGCTCTCTCCCCTCTCTCTCGCGCTCTCTCTCCCCCTTTCTTTTTAATGGCACTCCTCCAACGGGCTTTTCTTGTGCGTCTCATTGCGCATGGTTTGGAGAGAAAATGGCGCTTCTCCCAAATCTATTTTATATAAAACGGAGGTTGGAGAAAGGGGAAGAAGGGCTCGGTGCCCTGACAGTTGGCGACCAATTACAGTTGCCCTGAGGCAATAATCAGCTTTATCGACAAACATAATAAACCACGAATCGAGTTTTAATACGGCTCGTTGAGTTGCGGGACAGTTTCCTTTTTTTATATGAAGGAGGGTTTCTGACTTGCGGCTGTTACGGAGGTCTGCCGGTCTTCAGCCGCGGTCGGCGCTGGGGGGCCTTTAGGGTCACCGTAGACACGTTCATAATTATCGTTTAGTTTATTCCACTTCAGCAGCTTCTTTTTTTTTTGCGGGGACACCCTGAGACAACAGAGGGAAGTGTGGGCGTGTGTCGTGTGGAGAGTCCGGGCTGCATGGTTGCAAGTTTGATTAATCACAAAATACAGTTGACCTTAAAAGAAGCCTTAAAGCCACTTGCCTAAATAATTTCACTTCATTGACTTAAAGAGAGCACACAACGGAGCTTTGTAATGGATTCACTCACAGTAAAAAAGAAAAGCAGGCTTTATCTTGTGCGTATTATTCCCAAGCCGTTTGGGGTAATGGTTCAGTAAGAAGTTGTATACATGTGATTAAGGGGTTAGTTTTGGTTTTATTTATCTTGAAACAATATGATAAAATATATGGCATAATTTAAATGTCCACTTTTAATAGTCAGCTCACGTTTTTGTAATTAAATGCCCAATGATAGACTCAGTTTTGACCTTTCGGGCCTCAACCCTTGTACGCACTTGTGGTACTATACCGAAATAAGTCAAGACTTATCTATCAAACACAGGAGCCACCCTTAGGTTTATTACATGTAAAAAAAAATATGTCCACTAGAAAATAATCTTCAATTGATGAATGCCTCCACAATGAAAATACTGGGCAACGTTATCCTTTAAGCAGTTTTGACAAAAGTGCCCTGTTGCTTCTTTCTTTCTGTTTTTTTTTTTTTTAATTATTATTTTTCACCACAGTCTTTTTCTTAATGTGCGGGATTTGACTTGTGTCGATGTGTAGGTGATTTCATCATACAACAGCTCACGAACAGCAAAGGTCAAATCATAAATGACCTTTTTCTTTCTTTTAGTCTTTCTTGCAGCGCCGTGCTTTTTGTGCTGTCCATGAGCACATATGTAAAGGTATCCCTTTTAAATGAAGCTTCAGTTCACAGATGCAGACATTTAGTTCAGTCACTGCAGAGTTAACACAAGAGAGCTGCAGGCGCGCCGAGCTTCAGCTCCAGGCCGCCGCAGGTCCGTTTTTCCCTCACTCCCCTCGGCTTTACCACATCAGACACCGGGCTAAAAGTCGCTTTTATGCTTCAGTATTTTCCCATAAAAGGCCTTTTAAATAAAGATCGAGCTGAATATGACCTTTTAACATCCGTATTTATCAGCAGGCAGTATGGTTTAGTCTGAGGTCAGGAGCTTCCGTTAGTCAGAAGTTATCCAGTGCAGGAACTTAATTATCAGCCTTATGCACTCTAATGTGTACACATTAATTCACACTGTGAAATGATTTTGCATTATGAAGTCACAGCTGTTTAGCTTCAGGCCTGTAGGTTACATGTTTAAGTGCTGCGGGGAGGTCACGGCCTGCCCGCCTCTCGTTTTCAGAGTTAAGCTGTTTTGCGTTTGTATGTTATGGGATCATATATTAATATTTTTGAGATAACATTAGGCGCGCATGTAATGAGATGAAGTAGATAAATTGCAATCAGTCGGTTCCTTAAACAGAACAGTGTGTGACTTTGACAAGCTCCGTGGAAACCATGCAGGATTCCTTCTCAGTATTATTTCAGGCCTCCTGAGCAGACCTCACCATATTTTCTCTTGATTGTTTATAGTGGTCAGAAAGAAGAGAACAGCACTGCTCAAATGCAAAATGATATTTCATCACATCTTTTTCTGTCACTGCAACAAAGTCAGAAGCCGTGGCTGCAAAATAAGCTGCACTTAAAACGCGCCTGTCTTTTTTATTTCTGTCCCCCCTTTTTTTCTTTTTCTTTTGCTCTTGACCTTTTCTGGCGTCTAGTGAGTTATAAACAGCGAGGGAGACATTTTTCTAATCAATAGTCTATTTGATTTGCTCCGTAAAATAAGTCCAACAGCCCTACTGCATATTTAGCACAGATAATTTTCCAAGCCTGGTGGTATGAGGCAGAGGTCCGCATCGAGTTTCCTCTTTCTTTCCATTAATTAAAATTAATTGGCAGCAGATCCTCTCACACGAGCGCCGCATGGACGCGTGCTGCCCATATGCGCAATACATATTGATCTGCTTAGGCTGCTGTTACTGCGTCTCCCGGTCCTACTGGTGGATATCAAGCAGAGCTGAGTTTGTTTGCATTCTCTCATATCTCCTTGAGAAGTTGTGCTTGTACTTAGAGCACATTATGCCGGCTAAAAGATAACAGCAGATAAAAAATTACTTGAAAACCGTCCGTGCGTCCTGCTCGCTGCGTAGCACATAAGTGATACCTCTCTGTTTCACACCTGTAATTTAAACTTGACTTTAAACATCCGCCTTTAATTAGCTTTAATCGCCTGTTTTAATGATCTGTGGTTTGAAGCTGAGAAAGGCGTAACTGTAGTTTATTTTTGTGTGTGACTGGGTTTGTGTGTGTGTGTGTGTGTGTGTGTGTGTGTGCACCCAGTCATACATGGATGAATTGTACTAATGTGCATAATGTACAAATAACTGCTATAGTCTTTTGTAGACTCTGTTCTACGATCTCAGTCATGTAAATAATTCACAAATCACAGAAAACATGCAAAACTGGTGTAAACAATCTACAATGTATTATTAATGCTGATAAAAGCTTTGCTGGAATGGCCTGGTAGGTGACGGAGCCGATCAGCCAAAAGTGGTGCACATGCACTTGCCAAACAGCACCGGGAGTGTTTTTTACGGGCTACGTGGCATTGTTTCACATCCCTGTGACGGAAATGCATTTGCATAAAGTTTTAATGCGGTTTGAAGGTCGCGGAGGCGTCGTTAATTAAAACTTTTATGTGCTGCGTTTTGAAATCAATTATTTCAGACTCCACTTAAGTCCCGCTTATCCAAATGAGATGTGGGCTGCTAATATAGAGCGCGTCTCACAAACACTGCCAACTTTTGAAGCGTTTTGCTACAAACTCTCTCTGTCTCTCTGAGATGTTTAACACCGTGCGGGAGATTGTTTGACTGTTTCCCGCACAGTTCACACGCAAAATAAGTTGTATTTGCTTGCTCGATTCTGGCCCATAAGCGCTTCATGTCTTCAATTCTTTGCACTTCTAAAGTGGTCTTTTCTTTTCTTTTTTTTTCCTTTTTTTTTAGATTTGGAGATCAAATGAGTCCTTGAAATTCACTCAGCCGTGCAGATTGGCAAAGCACTTGAAAGCAAGCAGTGAAAGCCATACATACTGTAGCCATGCCATACAGCCATTGCCACAGAGACAGAAATGTAGAGATTTTGTAGTCAGTATCTTTGGTGATGGAGATAAAGGAACTTATAATCGCCACAAAATGGTGTTTGTGAATCAGTGCATATGGAGAGGCAAAAAGTCTTTGTGGCAATATGTGTGTGGAGCCCACACAAGTAATTTGTATCTATATTTTCCTAAATATCTTCTAAATGAAACACATCTTTCTTTAAGTCAAACTTTGTTTTATGTTGTCTTCCTGCGTTCCCTGTCATCAGTCACCAGAATCAATTCATTAAAACTTCAAGGTCCACACCAGGCTGTCCTAGCCGTGCGTGTGTCTATGTGTGTGCAGGTGTGTATGTGTGTGCGTGTGCATGTGTACTGTACGTGTGTGTTTCTTACTCCTGCCCTGTTTTGGGCCGATGGCTCTCCTGCGTCAGCCCTCGGTTCTGGTTTCACTGGGACCGGACGGTGATGGCCACGGTGCTGGTGTAAACCGAGGTGGGCCTGCGTGATCTGGTAACATACCAAGCCTTGCCGGCATCACTTTGCACCACACACACACGTGCACACACATGCACACACACACACACACACACACACACACACACACACACACACACACAAACTAATCCTGCTCACACAGAGGTAGTTGGTAGGCACAGCACAGGCAGTGGAGAATAAGTCTGCTGCTGTAGTGGACGGTAGGCATGGTAAAAGTGGCCTGCCAACTGTGCCAGGACGACAGGCAGGCAGTGGGTTGCAGGCAGAACCCAGGGGTACATTGTGTTC